TTCCATGTGGTAAGAGAAAAGAGATCCTATATTTGTGAGACATATAGTGAAATATTTACAGGTGAAATCATATCAGATCTAGGATTTATTTCAAAATAATCCAGGGTAAAGTGGGAAGAGTGGGTACGAATGTTGATAAAATGAGATAGGCTGAGAGTGGATAATGATATACGGGGGTCTGTTTTATTACTCTATTTTATTTATGTTTGAAAAATTTCTATAATAAAAAATCAACGAGAAAAAAAAATCCCATCTCTTTTGGCACATCTTATCAGTCCTCTTTCCGTTCATTAAATCTTCCTCTGAGAAGTCCTGTCTCCCCACCACTCATCACCTTTATTCTCTTACAGTCTGCCCCCAGTTTGTTTTCTTTCATAGCACTTATAACACATTATAAGGCATTTCTTTTTGTTGGTTTTCTGTTTTCACTAGACTGTAACACATTTCTTCACCAGTGTGTGCTAGGCGTGAAACAGTCTTTGCTCAGTAAATAGTTGTGAAAGGGAGGGAAGAAGGAAAGAACTCTGGAGTATTTCTACTAGAGTTAAGAACATTACACGTCTTCATCCTCATTTTATTGTAAGTGGTTTGTTTTAGCAGAATTTCTTGTGAGCTAGAATCCCTTTAGCTTAGTGGTTTTCAAACTGTGCTTCAGTGGACCATCTACTGTATTCCAAGAGGCAGTCTTGTAGTTGGAATAAGGGAGCTAGGGGAGCAAAGGTAAAGCTCCAGACTCTACTTTTAAAGTTCACATCTGCTTTAATCTAGGCACCTCAGGGTTTGTTTTTGGTTTTGTTTTTATCAACTTATAATAATTTGATTGAAGAAAGCGTCCACAGCTTTAACAAAATAATTGAAATAATTTTGGAACAGTATTCTGTATACAGTTGTAGAATTTCAACTTAGCTATCATCATACCCATGGCATAAATTCAGAATTTATTATTTTTGCCATGCTGTAAAATTTTAATATTAGAAATCAGTGTCATTTTGAGAATATCAGAGGTTTTATTTCCTATTTTCTCACTGGTGTAAGTGATATTTATTGACAAGATACAGTTTTAAATGTTATTAATTTATATTTGTACTTTAAGAGTTCAGATTAAGTGTGATATTGTATGGTACGATTGGAATGAATTAAGTTTATGACGAATGATGTGTTAAGACATTTGTATATTTAGTACTGATCTTAGTACAGAAAATTATAAGATTTTATTCCCAGTAGAATTAGAAGAATTTAGGTGATTTCTGTGATGGAAACCATTGCTTAAATTTATTCAAACCTTTTCTTCAGTTTTTTTTTTAACATGAAAACTTCAAAAAGGCCAAAAAAAAAAACCCCTTAGAAAATGTTAAATAGGTATCTACATGCTATGGGCTGTTTCTGTATGGGGTGATGAAATACTGAAGTGCTTTTCATCAGCTGGGAAAACTCTGGGATGTTGTCACAGCGTCAGAGTACCAGTCTCAAAGTACTGCCTGTAGCACTTAAAGCCCTGGTCAGATTACCTGTGCTTTACCTAGCTTTGCCACTTACTAGCTTTTAGGACCCAAGGCAAGTTAGTTAATTTCCTTGTGTTTTCGTTTCCTCATTTGTAAAATGGTAATAGTGTCTCATAGAATTTATTGTGAGGAACTTGGCATACTTCTTTGGATCTGATAAACTCTAGGTAAATGTTAGCTACTCTCAATAAATAATCAGTTACTATTACTGCAGCCACAGCATTAGGATTGTGTGCTTACTTGCATTTGTCTCCCACTGGAGGACTTCAGCAAGTCTTATTAGCACATTTTATATGCCAGGACCTAGTGCATCTACCACAGTGGCTGGCGTGTAGAAGGCATTTGGTTAATGTTAGTCCTGCTAAATGTAGCCCAGTGCCCTGGTTTTTTGGAAGTACTTCAATAGAAATATTGACTTAGGGGCGTCGGGGTGGCTCAGTCAGCTAAGTGTCTGCCTTCGGCTCAGGTCGTGATCCCAGGGTCCCGGGATCAAGCCACACATCGGGCTCCCTACTCAGTGGAGAGCCTGCTTCTCCCTCTCCCACTCCCCCTGCTTGTGTTCCCTCTCTCGCTGTCTCTCTCTGTCAAATAAATAAAATAAAAAGAAATATTGACTTAGACATAATTCCTCACTGAGACTCAGTTCCATCTCTAACCCCATAGTGACCCATCTCCTGATAAATCTCCCTTAAAACACCCAACATAGAGTGTTCAACTTACTCAGTAATAGTAGTTATTTGCTGTATTAGTTTGCCAAGGCTGCCATAACAAAATACTATGAACTGGGTGGCTTAAACAACAGAAACTTACTTTCTCAGAGGGTCTGCAGAGTTGGTTTCCTCTGCGGCTTCTCCTGGGTTTGCAGATGATCACCCTCTTGTGGCCTCTTCAGTGGCCATCTATCTGTACAAGCTGCCCTGGTGTCTCTGTATGTATCCTAACCTCCTCCTCTTAGAATGTCACCATTCAGATTGGATTAGGGCCTCCCTAATGACCTTATTTTAACTCAGTTGCCTCTATAAAGGCCTTATCTTCAAATACAATCACATTCTGAGGTACTGGGGGTTAGGGCTTCAACATATGAATTTGAGGGGAACACAATTCAGTCCATAACACTTACTATTACTTAATTACCTACTTATGATTATAATTACTTATGATAATGATAGCTCTTACTGTTAATATATTATTAAATCATTACCCTGGAAGATTTGTTGTCTGACTAATTAGCTGGATGTTTTAAAAATAGAGGTGGATTAGTTTTTTTAAGAAGTGGATTTTTTAAAGAAGTGGATTAAGGTTTTTATGATGAAAGCAGTGATCTTAGTCCACAGATCAGAAGCCAAAGGGTGTGTTATATGATGCTTTTTAATTTGTATATTTTATTTATTCACAAATTCGTTATTTACCAAAAACTTAATGAGTGCCTACCAGGTGCCCAGGCAGGGTGTTAGAAGGTAGCAGCGCCATCGTGAGCAAGACACGTGCCTGCCATTGGCCAGTTCACAACCTAGTATATACTTAAAATATCTGTGCCTCTGGAATGTAACAAGAAATAGTTCCCCAGAGTATTAGGTCTTAGGAAGTGTTGGTATTTGGGGCACCTGGGTGGCTCAGTCGGTAAAGCATCTGCCTTCGGTTCAGGTCATGATCCCAGGGTTCTGGGATCGAGCCCCGCATCGGGCTCCCTGCTCAATGGAGAGCCTGCTTCTCCCTCTCCCTCTGCCTGCCGCTGTGCCTACTTGTGCTCTCTCTCTGTCAAATAAAGAAAATCTTAAGGGAAAAAAAGGGTGTTATCAGACCTTAGAGTGCTGACTTTGTATTTTAAAAGTCACTTAATTAATTTTAAAAACATTAAAATCCTGATTAGAACCACTACCTAGGACCGTGATCATGAGCAAATTTAATCCCCTCAAACCACTATTTCCTCATTTATAAAATAGAAGTAATATAAATACTATATAGGGTAATTCATGATTAAGTGACATAATGCATGTCATAGCACCATACTTGGCACTTACGAAGAACTTAATAAAATGGTTGCTGCTGGGTCTTTTTTGTTTTTAGTTTTTTGGTTTTTTTCCAGTTCAGGAGCTAAGGCTCATCTTGGAGGTGAAATTGAGGAGATACTAAGAATAGCTTTATATGTAGGTTTCTAATAATTGGAGAGAACTTTTGCCAGAGCTTTGGAGTTTGTTATAATTTCTACCCTGCCAGTTCCCAGAAAGGATTAGAAATAGTGCCTGAGAAGTGTGTTCCAATCATGAGGTAATGGAGAAAACACTGACCCAGAACTAAGATGAACTTAGCACTAGGTTTAGCTCTGGAGCCAGCTAGATGATCCTGGGTAATCCCGAAGTCTAGGCTTTCCCTATCAGATTCTTTGCCTTGTTTATTAATTAGGAAATGGTTAATCTGATACTGGCCTTTAGGTTTCTGAGGCTTTGTGTATAATCTCCAAAGTCTCATAAATTTGAAATTATATTCTAAAAGCAGAAATATATAACTTGAATTTAATCTTCCTCCTGAATAATTATCACTTTCCAGAGAATAATCATTAATATAAATGACTTAATAGATAGTCCTTTCATAGTCTTTCCTTGGCTGAATTCATTTTAGAGTCCCTAATATATTAACATTGCATTTATATTAATTCTTGTTTTGGTAGCAGTATTCTTATAGAAGGTACTAAAGTCATAAGTTGACTTTCTCACATAGCTGTCATGTATTTGGAAAACATTGGCAAGGCACTGTGTAAGTCTGTTTTAACTGATAAAGACATAGTATCAGGCTTCATGAGAAATTTTTTCTTGTCATTGTTACTGCTGCTGTTCCTTTTTTTTTTCTTGGCAGAGTGGGAATACTTTTTAACTGATGGATTATTAGGGCCACTTTGGTTAATAAATGAGGATAAGATAAGGCAATAAAAGATTTTAAATAGAATGACCTAGGAAATGAGAAGGGTTAAACCCATAAAAATGTTTTCTACTTAGATGCCTCTGTCTGTATAAGGTTTTTATTAGTTTATGAAAAGTTTACAAAATCTTAACTATATAATTTAAATGACTGAAAAAATACTATATCTCACAGAATTACAGATCTTAATTCTCATCTGATATTTGATATTGACAAATGTTATATTTTCTAATGTTGCAATTAGTTTTTTAAAAGCTATTGAATGGTACACTTAAAATTGTTAAAATGGTGATTTTAACGTATATTTTATCACAATTAAAAACCAAAGCAAAAGTAAAAACCAATAAACAATAACAACAAAATAGATTTACTCAGTTATATCTTTTCAGTATCTTTTCCCCAGAGTTTTTCTGCATTTGTTACTGAAGCACCTATTTGGACACTTTCAAAATAGTGTGGGTACTTACTAGATTTTTAGGGTTGATTACCATTGGGTTTATATTTCTGTGAATTACAAATGTATGATTTATTTAACATTATTTTCATGGCAAAGATTTTTAATTGATCTTCCTTGTTTTGCAGTTACTTCGAGAGCTTAAGCATCCAAATGTCATCTCTCTTCAAAAGGTATTTCTGTCTCATGCTGATAGGAAAGTATGGCTTCTGTTTGACTACGCTGAACATGACCTCTGGGTAAGGTGAATTGCTGGTAGACATTGAGCCATTGGTTTCAATCAGGGATTAAGAGTGACGAAAAACAATTTTAGTTTATCTTACTATGAGATTTACATTTTAAAAATAAAAGTAACCTCATAGAATATGGTTGATGAATTACCAAGACTAGGGTAATTTTGCTTTGTATTACTACATTTTGATCTTGCCAGTTTGAACTTTGTAACATGCTACAGAAAAGAGTAGAATCTGAAGAGTATAAACAGTTACTCAGTATTGTTTCCTAGCTATAGATTTTTGATAAAATTTTAAAAAATAACTGTAATAGCTATTTTGTTACAGAATTTAAAAGCAGCATGTTTCCTTTTACTCTATAAAGGAATATAAAATGAGAAAGTGGTATCCTCATATAGGAAGATAAGTATGTTATATTTGGAAGACTAGACTGAAATTTATGGTTCGGTCTGTTATATGACATTAAGCAAGTCTCTTAATGGCTCTGAAGTTGTAGTCCCCCCCAACCCCATCTGTAAAATGTGGTACTTTTCCTGCTTTTTTACAAGATTTTTCTGAAGAGCAATTTTGTATTTGAAAAGCTTTATAAACTAAGTGTACTATACAAAAGTAGCATACTGTTAATCATTTATTGGATATTTTTCATACTTAATACTCCATATTCTAATGTATTTCTTATTTCCATCAGCAGAAGTTCAATATTATACTTACTTGAATTGGGCATGTTCTTGTATAGGAAGAATTCTTTGTGGAAGAGCGCTCCCAATTAAATCCTTGAAGATTCTCAAAGTCAAGTAATTACAGTCAATTAGATTAGTTTTATTAGGTTAGCTAATAAAATGAGAAAAATGATGTTATATTGATAAAAATTATTATAAACTGAGAATTTAAATTTATCTTGGCTAAATAGCTGAATTACAAACAGCTAAATCAGTATTTTGTATTTACTCAGTAGACTGGTATTTACATAAGTCTTGGGTAACTATAAAATTTACTCCTTTATTAAACAACAGTTATGTTCTTTGAAAGTCTGAAATGCCGTCTTGGGGATAAGAGTTTATGATATATAATGAAAATAGCAAGATAGCCAAAATAACTTTGAAGTATACTCACAAAACTTATATCCTGATCAATCTTGTGTAAAACACGTTAACATAGACTACAGTTTAGAAAATAAAACAAGTAAACAAAAACCCAATATACATTGAGTTAATTAACAAGTACTTCACTTCTGTGAACTATATTTTTTCTGGTATTTAATAAGTAATTTAATAAGATCTTTAAGTATTTCACTGTGTTTTGTGTACTGTTCTATATTTATACTTACATATTGGTTGTGCATTTATTGAGATCAATACAAGAGAAAATATATATACAGATGTTACTTGACTTACATAGGGCTACATCCTAATAAAACCATCACAAATTGAAAATCTCATTAAGTCAGAAATACATTTAATACACCTGACCTATCGAACATCACAGCATAGCCTAGCCTACCTTAAATGTGCTGAGAACACTTATATCAACCTCCAGTTGGACAAAATCATCTAACACAAAGCCTATTTTATAATAAAGTGTTAAATATCTCATGTTAGTTATTGAATACTGTACTGAAAATGAACAACGGAATGGTTGTATGAGTATGGAATCGTTGTAAATGTATTGGTTGTTTACTCTTGCTGAGTGGGTACAGTAGCTCCTGCTGCCCGGGGTCACGAACAAGTCTGCATGTCACCAGCCTGGGAAAAGATCAAATTTCAAAATTCGAAGTATAGTTTCTGCTGAATGCTTGTCGCTTTTACTCCCTCATAATGTCAAAGAATCAAGTTGAACCATTGTAAATTGGGACCATTGATACTGCTATGCAAGGGATTATAATCTTCTGGCTCAATTTTAGATAACTTTAAAATTTACATTTTTCATTCAGCTGTAGTTTGTAAATATAAATACAAAATTTTGAAATAAAACTAGTAGAAATTCCAGTAAAATTGCTCAGAAGTAAGTTAGCCTTCTAAAAATAGTAAAATAGTTTTAAATTCTTTTTGCTAATTTCCAGTACTAGCCTCATTTACATAATTTTAACCAACAGATTTCAGAAATTGACACTTATATGGGTTTCATATACTTTCAGATTTATAAGAAATATTTTTTGCTCTGTAGATTCCTGTTTTCCATGAGTAAATGCAGTTTGATTCAAATTGTTTTTATGTTATCTGGAAAGAATTGTTTTTGAACTGAAAGTAGACGTCACATTTTCTGTTTTATGAAACTACTGTCCAAGGTCAATGCTGGTTGTAAATATTTTTGTTGTTGTAGCTTCTGTTCTTTTAAAAATAAATCAAATCAAATCAAATTGGGATTCTTTTAATAAAAATTTGTTAAATTAGGGTGGCCAATATTGACTTGAACACTCATACTCAAGCCTAACATGAAATCAAATTATATGACCCAAATTTATGAGAAATTTTCTAGGCTGCTTTATAAACATGATTTGTAATAAAACATGATTTGTAATAGTTGAACATAGGAGATAGTATTGTATTCAGTATAATTCCTAGCAGGCTAGTATGTGATATCTAATTTTACATGTTGGTATAATAATTATACTTTTGCAAATTATGCTGCATGCAGTGTTGCCAGATGTGTATATATCGTCATCATTGGCTTTATTGTCATCTTACTAATATTCATTTAAGTCACGTAAGGACTTTTAATGTTCATTTTAATAAAAATCAAATAATTGACTTTACTAAAACCTCCTTTATCCATTTTATTTTTTTATTTTAATTGGAATATTGAAATGAATTAGCTGGGGTAAGGCGGCAGAGGGTAACAAAAACAGTCCCAGTAAAAAGAGTCATTTAAAAAAAATCGCTTAGGTGTTGGTGAAATTTCATGATAAGCACATCACATATTTGTTATATAGCCCTGGAATAAAAATGAAGGTAAGAGATTTCCCCAGTGTAGTTTTTTGTAGTTATAAAATACTGGTTAAAAAAAAAGTATTTTGTTAAACACTGATGAAAAGTGTTAGCTAAAGAAATGCATATGGCATCATTTATTGTACCTCCCTACATATTCTTGTATTCTTACTCTGGCAGATTTTAATTGTTAAAAATGATGTATTTCAGTCTATTTTTATTAAGCTCTAGAGAACCACTAGCTCTTATTAAGGTGAACAGACTTTATTGTCACACCATTTCTTAGGATAGGTAACAGAACATTCTAGATTATTGAGTTGTAGCTCTATTTTGTTTGACTGTTTTTAAATACTTTGGAAAAATAACTGAGAAGAAAATTAAAATAGTGTAATGCTGCTAGTAAAGTATAGATTAATCATACTACATGCATGCTGACTGATAGAGTTTTCCTTCCCACCAGGTAGTCTTTGCTATATATTTTTTCTTTGGAAAGTAAAACTCCTTCACTCATTAATTACTAGTTATTCTTTATCCATGTTCTACTTTCTATATCATAAGAAAATAGGAAGTGAAGATGTTGACCTCTAATATAAAATATGTCAATTATGTTTATTAATTTCAAGAATATGCTTAATATTCACTCAGAAATACTGTTCAAGAGTCTGTTTGTGTTCACATGAGGTGCCAGGCATATACCTGTGTTTTACACACAGCAGGGTTGACTTCACCTGACTTGTAGGTGTTCTTACAGTTTAAAAGTGCTTTAATTAAAATGAAGAAACCTGTCAAGAGAGTTTGAAACATTGGATCTTGTTTCTGTTGAGGTACATTTATTTATAAAGTGATTTTTCTGTTTATAAAGTGGTATTGTGTTTTACCAGATGTCCACTGATACTGTTCCTAGAAAGCTTTTAATGGGTTTAAGGCTGTTTTTTTCTCATCTGAATCTTTCATTTTTCTAAATATTTTCAATGTGAACTGGTCATTTACATGTTATTTCTTTATGCTTCTGTGTATTTTATTGAAATAATTTCCCTGTTTGCTTTTTGCTTTGTTTATAACCCATGTGTTGTAAATAGGTACCACATCTATGCTGTGTCAGCCAACCCAGGAGTATCTCTTTTGAAAAATTTTTTTTTTCTTTTAATCGCTACAGATAAAAAAGATTCTGTTCTTGAAAATTTCCACCAGGTATACAGGGATCAGGTATACTCTGAAAGTAATTTTTAATTACACTTTCAAAATAAAATCACATTATTCTCTGCTTCTGTGTTGCAATCATTTATTTTCTGAGACATGATCATATGCTTAGGAAATGAAACTTTAGCTCCAGTTATTAGGAAATTTTAAATTTATGTTATCCAGCAGAATGTAAGATTATATTTTCAATATCTTTGGGAATCCCTGAGTGTTTCTTTTTCTGGCAGGAAAATATTATACATCAGATTATCTTTCCCTCTTTTCCTTTTTAAGCTTCTGGTGATATTTTTGTTTCTTTCAGCATATAATCAAGTTTCACAGAGCTTCTAAAGCAAACAAGAAGCCAGTTCAGTTACCTCGGGGAATGGTGAAGTCACTATTATATCAGATCCTAGATGGGATTCACTACCTGCATGCTAACTGGGTGTTGCACAGGGATTTGGTAAGTTGCTATGTAGTTAGGTCTAAGCTAGAAAGATGCCTTTATAGTTGGATGATTTTCTAGTTGTCTCTAGATATTAGTGGTGCATAGACCTGCAAACCTTATAGAGAGTGCTATAGTCTCATAACATAGTCTAGCCTTGTGCTGTTTATATGATGCATCCTACTTCTCGGACATAAAGTGGCTGGGGTTCACTGAAGAAGTGAAAGAGGGCACATTTATTTTCATAAGCTTTTGTTTACTTTTAAGTCTGTAAATGAAGTATTGACTTGCTTGATTATTAACTGCTAGGCAAACTCTAGAAATTGATATATTTATGAATAACTTGGAAATGAAACTTTTGGAGCCTACTGCATACTAAGTTACATATTAGATGAGGAGATGTTAATTCAATCTGCTTACTTTTTAAGCCTCACTATATTAGTAGCATGTTTATTAATCATAATTAAGAACTTTATTCAGAAGCCTTGCCATGTTAAGGTACATTGAATTTTTAAGAATTTAGAAACTTCAGAAATTGGCTTTCTTATTTTTATTTTACATGGCCGAATAATTTACGCCTTTTTAAAACCCATCTGGCATTAAGATGTTCATTAAATTGTGCATTGTTCATTACTCTTCATGGATGAAAATTTAAATCTCAAATTCCCCTTATTGCATAATTACATTGTGCTTTTGTAGTTCTTTTCTTTGGAAAGGTGGTAACTATAGTAAAGTTTATAACAATGCCTTCATTCCAAACAATTATAAACACAATTCTGGAACTGATGACTTGGTCTCTAATCACATGTGTTACATTGGAAAAACCCTGTAGACTTTGAGACAGAGCTGATCTGCCTCTTGCACATATTCTTTCCAGGCTGCTGTATATTTAATACCTTCAGATCAGATGTTTCAGTGTCATAGTTTCTAGTTCTTTCTTCTATCTTCAATAAATCTTTCAATATGTTTAATGGTATTTATTTTATCTCTACTTCTCATACCTAGAAAGCATTTAGACTGGGACCGATAACATCAGAAATTTGTTTGAAACAACTTTTTTCCTTATGTGAACTTTATTTTTAATATTATGGGAATATTCATAGTGGATTTATAGAATAGAAGTAGGACAAATCCATTGGCTCCTTTTATGAATCTGAAAACAAATTTCAACCTTTAGGGGTGGAGTCAACTTAGGGGAAAACTATTACTACTTTTGAGCTACTGACCTTTTTTATGATCTCTAAAAGAATAAAATCTGGCAAAAGGGTATTTTTCCCTAATTATGCTGAGATGACACTACATTTTCTTTTTATAGTAAATTATTTTTCATCATTAAAATATATATGTTTATTAGATGAATACAAATAATACAAACCAGTATTTAAATTGTTAATGTGTAATATACTTAAACCACTTACAGTAATATTAACTACAGTAGTGAAAATAATTATAAAGTTTAATTTTTTTTTATTTCTCTTTTGGGATAGCTGTTTCTATTGGTGCAGCCTAAATGAGTTGTCTTTGACCTAGGGATGGTGTAGGATATGTCATTTCAAAGGTCTCTGTTAGTGGTGTGCCAGGAGGTGGGGGCCAGGGGGAGCAGTGCACTCTAGATGCCAGTATCAGAGGGATGCACTGTCTGGAGATGATTTAAAAATAATAATGAAACAGATAAAAAGTAGTTACTTTCTGTTGTCACCATATGCTGGCAGTTTGAATGATATCAGTTATAAAATATTCCTGTTCACAGAGCAAACCATTCTCACTCCTCTACCCCCTTTATATGCCACTGCTATCTGTTTAGTAGTCAATTTATCCAAAATATTTTCCGAACTGTGATATATTACTTGTGTCCTGCTACCTTTTTGATTTCCCCATTTGGAGTGAGAGTTCCTGTATTGTCTGTGTGTGACTCCTTACACCTGACTCTTAGGTGCATCACAGGCACACGGGTGCATGGAACCATTGTGTCATTAAAGTGGTAACCTCTGCCCCCAGTCTGGATCTTACTGGGTCAGGTGCTTACTTCTTGAATTTGTTCTCAATTTTTTAAAGGAAGATTCATTATCGCAGTTTTGTTGTTGTTGTTGTTGTTTTTAAATGTGCCCACCTTCCTGCTAACTAAAAACTAGATTTTGGAGTTTTGAGGTTATATGATGTTCAACTATAGTTACATTAGAAACTCATATATGAATACTTTTTTATATATGAATTTCTAATGTATTTACTTTAAAGAATGTTCTTCAGAAGCTGTATAACATGACTTTTTAAACTCTTTTTCAATATTTGTTATTATTTGCAGATGAAATATTTACCCTATAAGAATAAATATAATTAATAGTTAATTTCATTCCTTGCTTCTTTTCATTCAGGTTTAGATGAAATGTGGCACTATTGACCTTAGCCGACCTATATAGATTTCTAATGTTTTGAATTGAACTAATTGGTTGAGTTGCTGACTTGCCAAGAGAAACATCATACTAAGATGGATAATTGGCACAGACTCCCTAAAAACATCATTTTAATAATGCCCCAGAATGTTATTGAAGCTTTTGCTTAATAAAATTGTCTTCATTATTAATGGACACACTGGTTTGAGATGATAGTTATAAAGTTCTTTGATATGTGCAGTTGAATTTTAACAATTAATAATCCTATTTAATAAATAAAGATTAATTTTGCCACTGTTAATCATCACATAGTAGCAGATCAGTAACTGGGGTCTGTCATCCTTGGTGTGAAATAGAGATTTAATAATTCTGGAACTCTGGTTGGAATGAAGTTGGTAACAAATGCATTTGTGTGTAGCTGTTTTAAGAATGGGCCTGAAAGGAAACATACAATATTTATTTTTGTGAGATAATTTATGATCTAAGCCAAACTTTTTTAGTTCTAGAACGTTAAAATATGTATGTATAAGTTGGTTTGCTTTTACACTTAATCTGTTTGCTGTAAGTACAGATAAATAAAAACAAAGGTGTATGCTTTGTTCTTCCCTTTGACTACACTCTTTCTTTCCCTTTCTTCCTTTATTCTCTCCTTGGGAAATGAATATAGTCTGACCAACAGGCTATAGTCCTGGTTCTGGCATTACCACATGTATCAGGATTCTCCAGAGAAACAGAATGTGTGTGTGTGTGTGTGTGTAGAAAGAGAGAGAGATTTATTTTAAGGAGTTCCCTCAGGCAAATTGTGGAGGCTTGGTAAGTCCAAAATCTGCAGATAGGCCAGGAGGCTGGATACTAAAGGGAAGAGTTACAGTCAAGTCCAAAGGCAGTATGCTGGCAGAATTCTCTCTTGCTCCAGGGAGATCAGTCTCTGTTCTATTAAAGTCTTCAACTGATTGAATAAGGCCCACCAATGTTATGGAGGGTGAGCTGCTTTTCTCAAAGTCTGCCAATTTAAATGTTAATCTCATCGAAAAACGCCTTCACAGAAACATTCAGAAAAATGTTGACTAAATATGTGGGCACCATGGCCCAGCCAAGCTGGCACACAAAATAACCATCCTATACAAATGAGTCAACAGAGGCACAGAGTTGAAACAGTATGGGACCAGTTAATTCCATTTTTACCCCCCAGTTATCTGCTTATATAAAATAGGAGTGTTGGGTTAAGGAATATTAAGATATTTTACCTGCTACTATAAAGAGGAACTAAGTGTGAAATCTTAACAAAAACTTCAAATAAAAGATACTATTTAAGTGACTCAAAATAAGGAAGGGTTTGAAGTTTATTACCCTGATTGGGTTGAGTTTGGTAGTTTTCTGAGCACAAAATAAAAAGACAGTAAGCACCAAAATCATATTTGATACTTTGTGTAGAAGCCAAAGTTTGATTTGGCAATGGTGTCTGAAGTTTTTCCTCTGAAAACAATGGTGTCTGAAGTCTTTCCTCTAAAATGGTAGTCCTGTTTGACTGAGTTAAAGCACATTGGCAAGGCCATGAGAAGTTGTCACTACTAGTACTTCTACTATGACCATTTTAGGACACCCAGCCACCTGGCCAGTTCACTCTCTTGTCTGTCTGACCTCTTTCAGTAGAAACAAGTATTTTTTGTATAACTTCCTAATTTTAGGATTGGTTTTCTTGTGCAGTTGTGAAATAAATTTCAAAGTCAGGTTTTTTTGTTTTTTTTTTTAAAATGAGAAAATATCTGTAATTAGATTAAAATTTGAAAATCCCTGCATGAATTGAAGTGAAAGCTGGTTATGGTCTTTTTTTTTTTTTCTTCTTCCTTCTCACTCTGTATACCTCCTTACAGCTAACTCAGAGGTTGCCCTGTCTACTTGAATCCTTTCTTCCCTTCATCTCTAGTGTTTAAAATTCTATTCATCCTTTAAAGCTCTGCTCCTGCTACCTCAGCAATAAAGTCCCCCCCGCCCCAGTCACCCTAGCTGGAAGTGAGAATGTGTACATCTAAAGTCCTATAGCAGCTACTTTGAACTACTCAAGGGCACTTAAACTAGTTTTGGTAATAAGTTCTCTATTTGATTATAAGTTTCTGAGGCCCAAAGACTGGCTTAATATGTATTTGTATCCCTCCCAGTGCATTGGCAAAATACACAATCAGTGTATACAATACTGCTTATATTTGTTGAATGAATAAACCAGCTCATTTGTAACAGAAACAAAGTATCTTCCAAGGTGATTCTCCATAGGTTATTTCTGCTACCTGATGTTTTTCCGTGCATACTCTGTTACATTTTTTCTTTTTACTACCTACCCTCTTAGCTCTGTTATGGTTTACTGTAGTGGAGTGGTGCAAAAGATCTTCTTTTCATACTGTATTTTTAGTTCTTTTCAGCAGGCTCCCTCTTTCTACCTAAAAGAACTCGGCTCTTACCAGTCAGTCCAAAGACCATTCGCTAATGATACTGATCTGTTCATTTCTTTTATCACACTCTTCCTCTATCCAATTTTTTTTATTCCACCCAGTGAAAGAAACCTGCTTTACCTATTCATTCATGTTCTTCTCTGATGTCATTTATTTTTTTCCAATGTTTTCCTTTAATCTT